TAATGCTTTCAAAAACATGTGATATTTTAATAGTAGAGAGCATGATCATAGTTACAAGTCCTTTTTTTAAATTATCTTTTCCTCTACTTAGTTGTATTCACTCAGTCAATTATGTTTTGGAGTTCCGTTTTTTTTGGGGGGTGCTTTGGATTTTTTGTTCCATTTTTTAACAAGTCTAAGAGAGAAACATTAAGTACTTGCTATAAGGACCTAACCTAAGTTTAAATCTAAGCCGTGTCATTGCATATTTTATATAAAACTAAAAAATATGTATTTCCTATTTTTGTCTACAGAAATAATATATTTGGTGTACAGAAATGTTCTCGAACTGAACTTTGGCTTTTATAATCAGTGTGCTGTCATTAAAATGAATTTGAGTGAACTCAAAACCTATCTTAACAGCTAATAGTGCTCCCAAAATGAAGTTTTGTCTTCATTTCACTCTCAATCCCACCACCTCAAGTATGGTTTGTTTTAAAAAGTCAGCTCTCTTTAGTATTCCCTGATAAGAGACAGGATTAATTTCATAAACTCTTGTCAAGTAGATAGATTTTTTTTTTTCAACTGCCTCTTGTTGTAGTGTGCTAGGATTAGATTACATTTCTTTTTAATTATTTTGAATTTTATTAATTTGAATTATTTTGCTTTGTAAATCCTGTAATTATTCCTGCCAGCCTGGAAGCAGAGGCTGTGCTGTAACTAGGAGGTCCAGCAACAATCAAAAAAACCTTTGGTACTTTCCACCTTCTTTATTTGAACCTTCGCTCTTCTCTCTCCCTGTCATCATTGACAATTGCTATCATACATCCATCTCTGCATCTTTAGGAAGGCTGCTGCAAGCATGCTCTGCTCTGCTTGTACTCTGGTCTTCTCTTATTGCATTGCTCATTCTTCCCTCTTCTGCCTCTGTTGCATAGTTCCATGTAAACAGCATTCAATTATGCTTACCAGCCTAGGTTTTTTTTATATATATGTTCCTGAAATTGTGTTTCTGAAAAACCTACTTTGATGACTGGGTTGGAGTAAGAGCAAGAACTGTTTTGTTAATGAGGTTTTCAACAATCTAATTTTAAAGCAAGTTATCTTAAGAAGTTCTTGAGCAAAGAGGAAAACAATAAGCAGTTGTTTAGCCATATGTATTAAGATTTTTGTTTAATCTTTACTTATTTTTTCCTCCTCTGCTTCAGGAAAGGGTCATTGTTGCCAGCTGATTGTTTACTGCCAATGTAATAATATGTGTAGGAACTGGGGAATTTTAAGTCTGAGTCGTCTGAACGCTTAGAATTTTGGTTTTCTACCTAACAGTAGATATCTAATACTTATAATTGAATATAAAGCTAGAAAATACACTTTACATTCTATAAAGGCTCAAAAGGAAGGAGAAGTAAAAAAACCTGAAGTTTGGGGGGTTTTTAGTAGCCTTTTATTTTTTCTTAAATTTTGTGACCTCTCTGTTATTAAGTCTGTGTTTTTTAATATTTTTTTTGAGTTCTGGTATTTTAAATCACTCCAGCTACAATAATACTCATTATTGGCCTACCAATATGATTCTCTTCATAGTGTAATATGCCATGTTGACTGTGAGGAAACAGAGAGGTAGCTTGTTTTTTTTCAGTCAGCACTCAAAACCATATACTTTTTAAAATTTTATTTTAACACCCTTGTTATGCATGTGTGCTTTTCCGCTTAGATGTCTCATATTCAGATGTCATTTTAAGCATTTCATAAAGATGCTTTTAAAAAAATTCACTGACAGTACCTGAAGCTCTACAGTCCTTTAGAATTTGCTGCCTACATTCAAAAGGCATTTTTTATATTTATTTTAAATATTGATAAGGTGTTTTGGAACTCAAAAAGACCAGCTCTTAGGGACTCAATAGCTTAGTTCACTTTTTTTAACTTAATCTAAAATTTCTCTCTTTTGGTTCTGGTAAAAAAAAAAATGTGTTCATGCTGAGTTTTTGAAATAATTGCTTTTTTCATGTTGAGAAATAACTTAGTTCAAGTACAGTTAAAAAAAAAGGTAAAATTCAGGAGAGAAGAAAACTGAATTCTACCTCTAAGTGTCAGATTTTTGGTAACTGAATCTTCTTTTTATGTTGAGATAGCAGATAATGGATATTTGTTAATAGATCACAAATATTTGAAATAATTATCAGGAATTGTTTTGAGAAGAGCTTGGTATATGTAAAGTATATATCTGATACTTAAATAAATAAACCTGCACATGATAAGTCTTGATGGCCTTCCATCTTTATGGTTATTTCAAACTTCTGTGTTTTGCAGTGTGATTTTTGTTTTCTTTTTCTAATGGAAATTCTTACAGGTTTTCTTAATTCACTCAGGAGGCAGCAGCTATAAAAGTGGAAATTCATTGACTCTCCATGCCTCTCAGCAAGAGATGGATCACACAGTAGGAGCTATCAGTTTAACCAGTGGCAAAGATGGAGTTGCAGGGTTTTTTTTTCTTCTCAGAGCCTTGCTAAGGGTTCACAGATTAAGTGCATCATGTTCTGTTTGTTGAATAAGCAGGCATCTTTGGGTTCAATCCATCAGGTTGGAAGGAGAGGAGAGAAGGAGCTCTGCTGTTCCCAGCTAGACTTGTGGCAGCTCTTTGCTCAGTGACTGTGACTGATGGAAAGGCTCAATTAAGATGTCAGAAGGAATAAAGATAAGGACTTCTGTATAATTTGGATTCAAAGCTACCCAATCCTAGCACCTCTGTCTGGTTTTCATGTTAGGTTATAATGTCAGCTTTGTGTGGAGCTGGTTTTATTTGTTTACAGTATGTACTTTTGAAAGCAGAAGATGAGCAGGAGAGAGCTTTTATATATGAAATAGTAGATATTGGTGGTTGTTCTCTCCAGAGTTGTTAGACCTATTTGTTGGTATATGTCAATCCAGCAAAATCCCTTAACAGACTCCATTTACAGTGATATTAATGTATTACTTTCAACAATTGCTGCTAAATAATATCCTCAAAAAGCAGTGCTTTAGCACTCCTTCCCACATGTGCTGGATGAGTATCTTAATTTACACTAAATTGTAAGACCCAACTTGCCACATTTGGTCTTGCTGTGATTTTTTTTTTTCTTTTTTTCCTTCAAGCTAAAATGAAAAGTTTCCCATATCTTTGGGATGCTGATTAATGGCCAAGGAGATTGATGGAGTGATTTTCAAACCACCTTTTGTGCCTTCTTAAGTTTATACGCAGATGAACATAGTGTGTTACCGTGGCTGAATATAATCATGGTCTAAGCTGTGATTCTGCATGATTTTAGCCCATTGTAGATGGAAATTGAAATGCATTAACTTAATTCACATTAGGAAAATGGCAGTGTGGATGTGTTCCAGTGTTACACTTCATGCTATTATTTAAAAGCTCTGGTCTGCTACCCTTCTCTGTCAGTACACCTATCCCTAACAAAAGTAGCCACGCATCTCCATGATCTAGCAAATAGTGGCTGTACGACAAGAAATGTTCCAGCAACAAAACACTGTGGTAAACATTGCCTTTGCCATCATGCATGATAAAATTTACTTCTGTCTGCTGTCTGTTTAAGTCTGAGTGTGTAATGGTGGCATGGCATCAAGTTCTGTGTGGAATGAAAAGAACATTTTAAATATGTAAACCAAATGTATCTGCATCCATATCTACTAATGGACAAGTACAGATACATGTACTTTCACTCTCCTACCTTGTTTGAATGGACTATAAAAAAAAAGTTTATTTTTGTTCATACTTGTTGGACCTGAAAATTAAAATGTGAATCTTGGAATACTTTCTCCACTCAGAAGCAAGAGACAGATACTTGAGAGACAGATGCTGTTAGAATGTAATCAAAGCAAACAAAATTAGGAATGCTGGATTCCTGTAACCCCTCCCTCAATACAATTCTACTTGGGAAATCAGCTGGTATGAAGCCAGGAGAAGCTGTTCCTATGCTGTTCCAATTTGATCAATCTCTATCTGGTGTGTGATTGCTCAGGAATTGTAACAGCATGTCATAATTCAAAATACTTTAAGCTGCTTTATTGCATTGAAAGAATGATGGCATCAGGATAATAACTTGTATCAAAACTTTTTCCTCTTTCGTGCGATTGTACTTTAATTCACACAACAAAAGAAAAAAACAACTATAGAAAATGGTGAGGGGTGTGTATGTGTATTTATAATCTATATACATCTCTCTCTTTTTCTGGGCAGGTTATGCACAGATAATAATCCCTGGGTGAAACTGGGGACTGTTATGCTACAGAGATGCCCACCTGAAGAAAAGGAGAACACAGGAAATGAAATTTTGAAAATCTGCCGTTCTTTCTATGAGACAAAGCACATGCTCCCTGTCGAGGTAAGTTTTTAACTTTGGGTGTCATGGATATGAGTCCTGTTTCAGGGTCCCGGCTACAGGAAAGATGTTGCCATATGTACTGGATCAAGTCCGATGGAGAGATCACAAGATGATTAGGGGTCTGGAGCACAATAAATGCAGAGAGGCTGAGAGAACTGGGTTCGTTTTGTCTTAGGAAGAGATGACCAAGTGAGATCATATTACTGCCTTTAAAAATGCAGATGAGGAGACATGTAGAGGAGATGGAGCCAGCCTCCTCTCAGAGATGCTCAGTGATAGGACAAGAGGCAACAGAGACAAGTTACATCATCAAAAAACCTCATTACGTACAAGGAAAATGTTTTTCACTATTACAGTGGTGAAACATTAAAATAGGTGGATACCTAGAAGAGACATGGAGTCTCTGTCCTTGGAGGTATTCAGAACTTGACTGGATCATGTCATGGGAAATTTGATCTTGTTGGACTTGCTTTAAGTGGAGGCTAGTTGAACTAACTAACTTTTAGAGGTCTGTTCCAGTACAGATCATTCTTTGACGTATTTGTAGAAAGGCTTTAATAGTGTATTGTTATTGAAGTCAGTGTGGCAAAAGCCACATTAATTAAATAATTAAGTATTAATTATGATTAATTAAATAATCAGTAATTTTCTCACTAATAAATGCATAAAGATTTAGCGAGGAATCGTTGAAAAATATGTTCGTGATTGGAAAAAACCTAATATACAAGCAATTGCTTTGTAATAATCATGCTGTTCTGTCTTCCTTAACTATGTATGCATACTTCAATACAAGCATCTCTTAAGTATAAAATTATTGAAGCATTTTGTACATAAACATTGTATATTAATGAAGACAGATTGGAGAAAAGCTTAGTAAACTTCACACAACTTCAGAATAGTCATGTGAATATTTTTAGTAGGCTGATTAATCCCTTATAATCATCTTCACACAATCACAGTCTGTTACAGAAAACAGCTGATGTTAAGACTACAAGCAGAAACAACACACTGTTTAAAATACAGACAGGCGGGGGTGTGTTTTTTTTAAATAGTCCAACAGACTGATTTGAGTCAAGTTCAGAATCTATGTAAAACATGATTCTAGAAGGTGTCAGTAAGCTGAAATGATAAATACATCCATTAATTTATTCATCTCACCAAAAATTTTTGGTGGAAGGCAGGTCTCTCTATCCCTGGGACTGGCATAATTACATGTAGCTTTTCTTTATAAGGTGTTCAGTGGTGCATCATAGCTCGTAAACTCATGATCTTATTCGTACATAGGAGTAGTCAAACTTTGTCTAAGTAGAATTTTCTGCCTCACCTCGGTGATCCAGAAAGACAAATCCCACTGAGGGACACTGTCATACAGCAGTCAGTTCACCAAGAGTTCTGCTCAAGAATGGGTCGTGATTTGCTCACTTCTCTTAATTGAGTAAACTTTTTCTTGAACTCCGTAACAAGTCCCTGTTTGCAGACAGTTTTGGTATTGGTTGGCAGCTTTGGTTGGAGATGCCTTCCTTTTTTAATCATGCAGGATGTTGGAAGAACCCTCCATGTAGCTGTGAATATACAGGTACAGTATGAAGATATTCTGGCCCTCGATCATAAAATAGCTTTACTGATGTAAAAATACCCCTTTTATGACTAGAATGCTGCTGTACAGCAACAGGAGTTGCACTAAAATGTGTAATTGCACAGTTACCTCCAAACACAGGCTGTATTGCTTAAGTATTGCTACTTGGGAAGAGGGGGAATGTCATGCATAAATTTAAGTAACTTCTTTGTATGCATGGCTATAATACTTAAATGCATAAATTAGAGAGTTGAGATCGCGTGGCTGAATAAGATGAAAATCTGATTACTGACAATTGACCTGTTTAGATGACTTCACATTTCAATAAATACACTGATTAAGAAGACAGACCTAGAATGATGGAATTCTTAAAACTGAGGGATCAATTTATCACCATGAATAACATTTGCCATTCTGAAGTCCAAAGGTTATGATGGAAAAAACATTCAACTTCAAGTCATGATGGTCTAGAAGTTATAAACACTGTTTCTTTGGATAGAACCAGGCAGATATCTCTCTCCCTTTATTCCACCTCCTGCTGGTCTTTCTATTTTTTTTACAGCCAAGTTCTTTTTTAAATGTCTTTTGGAGAGTTGCATAGCTTTAATCTTTGTGTATCTGTGTGTGTGTGTGTTTGGGTTTTTTAATTTATTTATGTTATTCAGTGGATAGATTTTTCTACTCCTCTTCATTGAAATAAGCATCATTTTATTTGATTGGAAGGCACATGTGTTTGAACTGTCTGACGTCTGCACTGCCTGATTAATCTCTTTAGAAAGGGGCAAATCCTTCTTCTCCCAGTAATTGTTAAAGTGTGACTCCTCTGAATATTCCGTGTTTTTCTATCAACCTATGGGTCATGTGTCAGTTAACATGAACACTTAAATGGGAGAATGCATCTAGTCTCTTATCTGTAATCACCCTGGGGTCCTAGTGGCCATAAGGTGCTTATCTCCTAGAATAATATAGCAGCCAGTTGGACTCCTTTTTTTCTATTTTTGTAGCTAGTTGTTCCTGGTTTTTATATACAAATTTGCTTTGAATGTTTTTCTTCATTCACAGTTGTCTCTGATCATTTTGTTCAGATAATTTTGAATTTAAATGCTGCCCTTTGGTCTGCTTTCAGCCTCTCCAGACACAATACTGTTCATACTCATTATCCAACCATTCAAGACATCCCTGAAAATACTGAATAATACTGGACCCAAAACAGACGCCTGTGAAATCTTGTTTATATGCCTCTCTGGTGTCACAGTGAACCATTGATAGCTGCATAACTAGATAGAAGACAAAAGTTTATCTTACAAAATTTTCAGCTAAATTGTGGTAATCTAGATGTTGAATTAGGGCTTCCCTTGTCCCTCTCACAGGTGACGTCATACCCCCTCTAAGCACATCCTCTCACTGCAGGCAGGCAGCCACTCAAACATGCTCGAGTGCTTATTGCAGAAAAGAAAGCCACTTGTGTTGCTCTGAGAAGTACTGTAGGTGGTGGTTTGCTTGCCTAGGGTTGGATTTCCAGTTCCTCTCCAGAGCAGCAGTGCAGTCATTTGTGGCAGAGATGCAAGGAGGTATTGTAGTCTTTGTACAGTCTTCAGTGCTTGGCAAGTTGTCCAGTCCTTTCCTGTGGAAAAAGGAATGGAGGACACTCCAAGGGTTCACAAGTTGGACTACACTATCCTACACCTTATTTCCCTGGTGCAGAGGACAGCGAGTGTTTCATGTGACATTTTCAAAGTCTTGCTGAAGTCAAAATATGCCATGACGATGGCCTTATTGCTAAGTACAGGACCTGTTGCAGGGTCCTGTGGGAAGATATTTCCATATAAATTTTTTTGTGTTTTGTTTTTCATTTTACATTTTGATGATTTTAATGAACTGGGAGTGTCTTACAGGTCTACAATATCTTTTCCCCTTGCATGCCTGCTTTCTTCTATGTCTGAAAGACTATATCTTTTTTCCAGTCTTTCCTAACCTGTCATGTTCTCAAGGGTGATGTCTCTTAACTTGTTTTATTATTTCTTTCAATGTTTTGGGGTGAATTTTTCAGCCTCAGAAACATATTTTTTTATTTTAGACTGAAGTTTCAGTGCTGAACTCTCACTCATTATAATTATCAACTGTTAGCTCTTCATTTGCCTGAGACATTTTAATAATAATTAAAGCAAAAAATATATTTAACACTTTGCTTTTCTTGGCTTTTTGTTATTGTTTTTTTTCATATCAGTATGTTATTAATCACGATGAAGTGTCATAAGGAAAACAGAGGCAGTGCAGTCTTACCTTGTAAGAGATACCAAATGAAGAAGAGTGGGTAAGAAGTACTCTTCTCTATAAACCACCAGCAAGACTGGCATTAAAATAAAACACCCTGTTAGTGTAGCGGCACTTCACGAGGACACTGAAAAATCAGGGGCAAAAGAGAGAACCTGCAAAAATTAGTGAATGGATGAAAATACCTTGAAGTGAAAGACTGAAGGAGTGGAGTGTATTATCTTATCAGAGATCAAGAGGTGATTAATTGTATTCTGCAGATATTTTTAGATGGAACACAAGCTAATAAAAGTTTCTCTTGATTTACAAAGAAAGGCTTAACAAGAACCAATTGAGTTGAATTTGTACCATTTCAAATTTTAGCATGAGGCATGATATTTTGACAGTAAGTAAATTATTTGTTGGAATGTATATTTCTCCTTCAAGAGAGGTGATGGATTCTCTATACTCAAACATTTTTGTAGGTAAGACTGGATATGTTTGCTAGATGTGTTTATCATCAGGCACAAAGTTTCTCAAGTCATCTGACTGGTACCTACCTGAAATCTAATGACCTTTGGCTTCAAAATCTGGTATTGTAAGATAGACATTAATTCGATAGCTAAGCCTGTGTTTTCTTATGTGGAGACCTTTATGCCTCTGTGTTGAGCAAGGCAGATTGTGTTAGAACATTTCCTATTAGAATGTGTAACTAGTACTAGAGTATAATTATGAAGTACCTAAGAAGAAAACAAAATGCTATCATATCATCCAAGTAAATGTTCCTGCTTTGAAAATAGCAATGATAGTATCTGTATTATTGCATTTGCTTGTTGAGAGATTTAATTTTTCTTTATTTTAAAGCAGCTCACTGAGACAGCAAACTCTGATGCATCATCTGCATCTCTTCTCTCTCTGCCTTGTTGATTTGGAAATGTACAGTGCCTAGTTACATTTTACAGGTTGCTTAGTTTACTTTTCTTCCTCCCACAACCCCAAAATATGATTTCAGGCTCTTTTAGAGAGCTTTTTTTATAGTTGTGTGTTATTTCTTATGGCACTGCTTCTCCAGTTAGTTTTGAGAGGATTTAAGACAGAAAAAGTTACCAAGCATGGTAAAATTGCTGTTTTGTTCATGTTATGTATCGTATGACTCTCAGAATTTATTTTTCTGAACATAAGTTGCATTTACTGCTGTGGATACACATTTTCAAGAAAAGGAGACATGTGAGTGAATCTCTAACTGCCTTCAGCAAGTTTGCTGGAATGGCAGGGATACTGCTCAAAAGAAATACAATGGAATACAATACAATTTCTTGAAATACAAAAAATGCAGGAACAAAGAAGTTTAATAAGCATATGACTGATCAGACAAAGCTTAATGTATTTAATCTTCTTATTCCTTGATCCTGTATCATATCCTTCACTGAAAACATCAACAATCAGTAGCAGTACAGAATATAAGTTTAAGGGAACAAGTCTGGGTAAGAGAACAAGCCTTGCCTCAGTGACTCAGAGCTCAGTGTGATAGTATATATCCTTCTAGGCAGTGTTTCTTGAAGGTATAAATTTAGAAGAGACTGAGCAACATGCAGCCAGAGAACACCTTGTGCCAAACAAGGCCAGGTGTCTCTGCAGTACATAACAGTTGGAGCATTTAACATTTCTTTTTCAAATAATTTTTAGGCTTTTAGGTTCACAGCTACTAAAACCATGCTGCTAAGAGTGTGGTTGCATCTTGGTCATCAAATGTAAAAAATACATGACTTGCATTCTCTCAGCTTAATATTTATCTCATGAGCTCCTTGGAATGAAACAAAGAGCACCTCTTAAGAGTTGGATACCATTTTCAAGGTGACTGTCATATAATATCCAGAGCACTTAGTGTACGTTGTCCTGGAACATGGTGCATCTCTGATGGGCCTCATTGGGAAGTAGTTGTTAGAAATGACCCAAATTCTTGGAAATGACGAAAAAGGAAAGTGAAGTTATAATATGATTTATAACATAATTTGTTAGTTGAAATACTTTTTGATGTATAAATGAATAAATTGATGCAGTGTTGAGGGAAAAAATCCCCACAAGTTACATACAAGATGTTTTGTTTGTGTGTTTTAACTAAAGGCCAAGGTAAAGATTTGGAAATGCACAGTAGGTTTGTTGGGGGTTTGGGGGTTTTTGTTTGGTTTTAGTTGTTTTTAAGATATTTCTCTGGCCAGTTTCTTCTCGCAGAAGATCTATGATGCTAAATTTGTACTATATTGTAAAATATGATAAATTAGATGAATGAGGGAAAGTTAAATTGCTAAACTTTAATTGCATATAAAAAAATTGTATAAAATTTGGAAAGATTTTGCAACAGAACTTTATGATGTTGAACTCTGGTATGTACTGTTATTTCCTCTTTATTTTGTTCCACTTTTATGACTGCATAATTGAGTTACAGAAGTGTCACAGGCGTCTGTTAAGTTTCTTCCTGTGCTTTGCAGTATTTCAGTAAGCAGAAATATATTAGTCCCACAGAGAGCTGTGATTGCTCTGTTGTTCTTTCAGTAAAACTCTAGGTTGTAATGGTGATTCAGTACCTGCCTTGTCTTAATATAACAAATCTTGTACTTATAACCCTGTATTTTTCTGAACTTTTCCTTTCAAGTTTCTTAAGAGTTATTTCCAACAGGGAGTTCATTTGTTGTGAAAGTTTGGGTTTCATTTTGTGTTTGACATAGAATTTTCATAAATTTTAGTCTGAATGATCATGTTAGTATCTCCAGAGATCTCACCGAATGAGTTTACTTTTATTTTCAGTGTATAAAGGAATTATGTTTGCTGCTGCTTAACCAGTCCCTCCTGCTGCCATCCCTGAAACTGCTGGTAGAAAGCAAAGATCAAGATCTTCATGCTGTGGCACTGGAGCAGATAACAGCTCTTGCTAAGGTATGAGCAGTTGAATTAACCACCTTTCAGAGTTTGAGGTAATAAATGAGTTCTTTTATCTTCATATAGTAAGCGGAGACTATTGAGACCATTATCATTATTAAGATTTTCCACAGCTATTGTGTCCACAGTGAGCAGTAACACAGGGCTAGTAAGATCTTTTATATATGCTTGAGGTGATTAAAACTCATAGCACTTTCTTTAAATTATCTAGCATGCTATTTTAAGTCAGTGTGGTGGAACAGAAACTATTCTGTTATATAAAGTCGATTTTTATCACTGTGTTCATATTCTAGCACTTCGGAGGATTTTAAAGTGATAATAGTACATCAGATGAGTTAGCTTGTTTCTGACAAACTTGGCAGTCTGTTTATATACATGTGGAGAGCTGTTACATCACTGGTTTTGTTGTAGAAAGGTTAAAATGCAAGATGGTATGTTTGGGGACTTTCATGCAATTCCAAACAGGTTTTATTCAATACTACAGCAAAGTTTCTGGAGGAAAAACTTAAATACTGTCTTTTTTTCTTTGAACAGGAACTGAAAGACATTACTGTATATTTTTCAATTGTTATGTAAGGTTATATTACTCTCTTTTTCCTGTGTATTTGCTTTTCAGTTAAGAAGGAACACATAAAATGATGAAAGCTAGTCTCCTAGACAGAAGCTTTATATTAGCTTTTGTCTCTTTTTTTCTGAAAACTGAGCTGGGTTTAAAACTTCTTGAAGCTCTTAATTGAATGTCTGCATGTAGAACCTGACTTTCTTGATTTTGTTAGCTATGGTCTACAATCTAGCACTCTACCACAGAAGAGAAGGGAAGTATTGTCTCAGACCTTTATATGAAAGGTAATGGCTTTCCTGTCTGGCTGAATTAACTGCATTGACTGTTTCCAGGATTACAATATTTAGATAGGAAAACCTTATCTCTAATATTTCCCAATTCTGCACCATATCTTAGGGAGCTCTTGGTGGCATATTAGAATATAAAATAATATGCAACTTCAAAATAAAATTGCCCATATGGAAACAGAAATGGAACTGTGTATATGTTTTTAAAATAAGCATCCTGAAAACACAGAAGCTTAAAAAATGTGATTTGTAGGAATTCAGATTGAAATTATAACTCTTTTCTGAGACACACAATGTAGGCAAACATTCCCCCATTTCTGCAGGAGCCTTCTAGGGCAGGCCCTCTGCTCTAGTTATATTAATTTCCACAAATTTTTTAGATTCCTTGGTTACAGCAAATGGTGAAATCCTATCCCTTTCACACCATCCTCTGTTCCCTAGGAAAGATATTCTGCATCCTCCTCTTTCCAGGATTCTCTCTTAAGTCTCTCCTCCTCACTCAGTCCTGCTCATGTGCTGTCTCTTTCCTTCTTATGCTGCACATTGTATTCCAGCAGCTTTCTCTTTTTGCCTCCATTGGATAGCTGGAGAAAGGACTTACCTCCTTTCCAGAACACAGCAGTGAAGACCAGTCAGAGAAGCAGTAGATCTGGAAGCATAGACTTCATCTTAGATGTTGCTAATTTTCCTTCAAAAGGACTTGGTTACCAAAATGGATGAAGCACCAGCTTTTTTTAACCTGCTCTCCATGAACATTTAAAACAGTAGCACAGAAGGTGGCAGGGCATATTATGTGTAATACACATCTGCTTGTATCAAAATTCCAATACCATAGCTAGATTCCAGTATGAATTTAGAGTATTTCCTAGTTGAGTTTGGCATTCTAAGCAAAGAAGCACACATTTTTATGAAGGTGTTCCTATTTCCTTTTCTTTATACAAATAAACCACAAATTTTCTGAATTTTCCGCAAAACATAATTTTATAAATATTAACCAATAGTAGATTATCTTCAGTATATTGATAGTTTTCTTTTACCACCAGCAATTTTAGATTTTATGTCTGCAAAGCAAGGCTTTTTTGTAACTGTTTTTAAACAAGGTGGCCTCATTGAAAAACGAGCGGGGATCTGATACATGCATGCACTTTCTCATCTATATGTTTCTGTTAACCTTTTAAAATTACCTTTTTTGTTAACAGATTAAAGCTGCTGTGTAAGTGACTAGCTCTGAAGCTTGCCAGCATTTTTTTTCTGAGTACATTTTATTTAGCTATTTTTAAAGCATAATGCTGTGCAGTAGCACTTTCTGAATGGTTACTAATTGTATTGCTGTTTTAACTGGCCTTTTCTTTCTAGTGTGCTATGGCTTTCAATTTTCTACACTCTAGGTTGATTACATTATATTGTAGTTTTAGGGTCAGGAACCATATTATCTTCTTACTAATATAAAGCCCTTTGTACACCTGTGCATGCCTAAAATAATATTATTTTGGGCCTTCTTATGCAGGAGGCAGCTTCATAAGCTGTTTCTAATTTTTCCTTTTAAATTAGGTATTAATTTGAGCACATAGTTCTGCAAGAGTGCTGGATAACCTAGAATTTTCAAAGCATTTAGCTTTGGTCTAATGTTTCATCTCAAATCAATGAAAATTTAACTATTGACTTCGTTACATCAGGCATAGAGCTTAGCCAGTACCTTGAATGTGACATTCCGCTGCCAGTGTTAGAAAAGCAACTAGTACAGAAGAATGCCATGCTAAATTTAAAAGCTATTCTGATACTGTTTAGAAAAGTATCTCTTACTCCTTGTTTTATATGCATTCCTGATGATTACATTAGTTGATGTTGTACTAAAAGTGTGTATATTGCTTGGCTATGTCAACGTTGTTTATTCGGTATAATTTTGTATGCATACTTTTTGCCTTTTAAAAACAGTATTTGGACTGTTAATGCTTTTTGTAGAATTCTTAATGAATTTTTCATAGGAAGCCCATTTCTGCTTACATTAAACAGGAAAAGGACAAGTAACATCTGGCAAGGGGAAATCATAGCTATTGATTCCCTGACATAGTGCTAACACAGCTCACAAACATGGCTGTGAGAAAAATACGACACTTGCTTGCTGATACAATGTATTAGTTAGCCATTTGTTGTATGTTGCTGACAGCTTTATGGATGTTTACAGTTAAAGATGATGCTGAAGTGCTGATACTAGGAACTGTATAGCTTTTGCCTGTAATAAAACAACCAAGATTTTGTGTAAGCTTTTGTGAAATTGCAGGCCTTTCTTTTTATTGTGTATCTTTTTATAAACTGCCGCTTGTCTTTTTTTGGATAATAGAAATAATTATTCTTCCTGTGTTGCATGGTGTGTGTAAATAATTTTAAAAATCCGTTTACTTAAATAAGCTTACTACTGCCAATCACCCTCACAGTTTGCCCTTAAGAGTCAGATTGCTTTTGAGAAGTTTCAATGTAGTCTGTTCACTTGGTTATCTTTCAAAGATTAAGACTGATTTTTATACTTCTGACAGGGCGCATAAGTCTTCTATTACCTGTTGGTAGTTACACTGTTAAAACAGCTAACAAATGGGAGTGAATATATACAGTGGAAATACTTCTTAAGTCAAGGCTTTAATAGAAACTAGAACTAGAAAATGTTTTTAGTTTATCTAAAATAATAACTTAGGTCTGTTTGCATACTATACTTTCAATGAAGTACTGAGACTACCTTGCAACATGATTTATTGAATAATAAAGTATGAAAAATTACAATGTATGAAATAATGGAATTTCCAGTGTTCTCCAGTGTCTTATGCCATTTATGGCTACTCACTTGATGTGGCTTACCTTTTAAAAGAAATCTTGTGGAACTATGTGTATATAAGCTAACGGTGATTATGGTAAAATACTTTTCTCTAGTTTATTTTTCTAGGGTTTTTTTATATCTTTCTGTTTTCTTCTTCCCTTATTTATTTGTCCTATAGCTATAGACTCCAATAAGGAATAAAATGAAAAGCTTTTTTACCTCCAGTAGTAGTGAAGAGCTAATACTCTGGGAAATAGCAGGTTCAGTTCTTTTCTGCTATTACGTCATCAGCAGCTCTTATCTTTCCATTAGTATCCATATTTCATAATGGATAAATTTTATAAAGCATAAGTTATGGATGAAATATTGCTTATTGCTAATATCAGAACCTCTAGACACCTGCACAAACAATGCTAACAGGGAATTGTCCAGATCCTGACTTGCCCCTTAGGCAAAAGATAACTCCTGACCTGCTCTTGCTTATCTGAAATTCTCACTACAGGAGAGATTATTTTTTTTCAGATATGCTGCATCACAGCAAGTATAGGTACAATGTCCATGTAGGCTGTATTAGCAACCAGAAAAAATACTGCATGCTGATCTAAGGTGTGTCCTTGGTCTTGGGGAGTAGATTCACAAGATTCTTGCATTCATGGTTGCATGAATTTGTGGAGGCCTCAGTGATTTATCAGTAAAGCCTTCTAGATGTCTCAAGTTTTTTTTTTTGGAAGAGGTGCCACCTGTGGCAAAGCTGATCTTCACCCACCTATTTCACACATAGACTTTCTTAAAACTTGCAGGCTCCCTCTCTCTGCATGCCGAGGGGGCCTGCTACCTTGGGAGATCTGAGCACCTCAAGCCTGAGCCCGTTTGCAGTTCACGATATTAGTGTGCTGATAGCAAAGGCTCAGGCAGGCATGCCCTTACTAACTATGCACTGACAGCACCGAGTTCAGCATAAGACACAAACTGCCGTTCTGGTTCAGAAATACAGCAATCAGCATAGAGGTGAATACAGGTTGTACAGGGAAACAACTGGAATCCCCTGCCCTCTCTAAGGGCAGCACTTCATAGTCTGGGATAAGACTTCTCTGAAGATGTGCAGAAAGAGTTTAGGACTTGTGGAACGTGCAAGTGGCTCCTCACTTCTGTTGATAGAAACCTTGCTGAGACATGGTTTTCCATCTGTAGATGCAGATCCATTTATAAATTCTGCATTAAAGAGACATTTGATAAAATGCACAAGCCCCGTTTGAAGCAGAGTGCAGTAGCACTGCTTCAGTGGAAAAGAGTGCATCTGTTGCAATTCTGTCTCTATGCTCTCTCACTTTCTACATGAGTATGGATGTCTCTAGCAGGGAAAGGTATTGATCATCACAGTCTAAAGTAGTGAGCTAGTCATCAGAGATACCACTTGAATGCCTACCTCTTGAAAATAGATTTCAGCCAATACTTAAATAGGTATGTAAGTCAAGGAAAAAAAAGTCAGGAGTTCCTCTCCTTACTGTAATTATCCCCATTAGTTCTTTTACTTGTACACGTGCACACTGTGTGGGCACCACGCTAAATCTGCACTGTCAAATCCTACTGAAGGAGAGATGGATATGAAAAAGCAAAGCTGCTGCTCCCATTTAAGCCTTCCAGAAGTAACAGATTTTACACTAATGAAGCATTTAGCACCCTTAACATGGAATTCTAGATAGGCATAATGATTTTTCTCTGTAATATGTACTCTTAGTTTGTCATTATTGTGGTTTATAGTTTATTCACATGTTCACACAATATGGAAAGTGTTTGTGTGTTGATTTCTCCAGAAGATACCTGCACCTCTGAGACTTGCTTAAACTGCAGTCAGCTGCATCCCATGTCACTGGAACAGTGTTTCTGGGATCAACGATAAACTTTGCTGGAACCAGTGTTTCAAGGTTTAGTTAGGATCTTGGGATAGTAAGGGCTCTGCATATGCAGGCAGATTGGAAGTAACTCACTAATAAGATCTTCTAGTTATTTTCAGCTGTATGTATTTGCTAACTAACTGCCAGTGGTTTTCTTTCTTAGTTTTGTCCAGTAAACTTGGATGGACTTTTACATCCTGCAGTATCATTTACCAAAGAGTTCAACAGTGTAAAAAGTCATCAATTTTTTTTTATTTACACTGAATCTAATCCTACTAATTTCAATGCTTTCTACTTCTTTTTTTTTTTAAAGAGAGAATGTGGTTAATGTATCTCTGTATACTCTAGTGATGTTGCTATCTGCTCTATACCCTCTAAGCTGCCTCTTTTCTAGATTGGCGAGTCCTAGTTTTGCTGAGTCATTTCTTGCACATACACCATACTATACTCTCTGTAGTGTATTTTTACTTTTAATATATGCTGTGTATGTTTACTTTTTGTATTGTTTTAGTAATTTTTTGCTTTAATTCTTGTTCTAAATCAAAATTAATTTTAAATACATGTAGTCTTAAGCATTGCTGCTCAGTGTATAAGCTATCTTAATTAAGGCTTTTAAATATACATTAATTCATTGACAATCTATATAGGTGCTGGTAAGGAATTTCGGTGTGGCATTTGTTTCTAATTAAACTAATGACTGAGTGTCTCTTCATATGCAACTGATACTCAAAACGTTGACATGAGCTGGAGTTGCAAAACTGGTAAATAGTTAATCTAGCTTTCTCAGCTGCCTGTTTTTATACAGATTTCTCATTAAACCTTGGCATCTGACATCTCTCCAAGGTTAAACCTGTCAGACTCTGCTTAGATTTACCAAAGAGTTGCAGAATAGACAGTGGCCTTAGCTGCGTGAAATACGTTCACAGTGTCTGGTTGCCATCTTGTGTCTCCATCCACTTGCCTGGAGACAATTACATTACAAAGGTTTCCTCTTTCTGACCAAGTCTTCAGACAGCCTTGAAGTCAGAAAGTGGGAAATGTTAATCAATTTAAACCTACTGGACTATTTGAGCTTAAGGGTGAGCCGTCAGACACAACCAAGAGCCTTTCGTGTGCTCTTTTGTTATGTGTAAAGACACAATGATCTCATTTATATGTGAGTACAGACAGGTTGCTCTGCTTCTGTGTTGCATGTGGACACCTTCATCCCCATAGTATAGCTCAGATGTTTAATGGTTTTATGCTAGAAAAGGTCTTTTACTTTCAGACTTTTCTCTCTCCAATTTGTAGGTTTTTGGCATGTGAAATCACACTTATCTATAGGACTTTTCATTAACTGAATAGTAACCTAAAAAACTTATATCAAACCTTGCATCTGCTGTTAATGCCATTACTGTAATTACTGTTTGCATTTTATGTTCATAAAATCAAACACTGAAGCCTTGTGTAAAGTTGCATCCTACATACAGGTCAAGAATAGAGCACACAGAGCTCAGAGGTGGGGCAGAATATCCCTCCAACCTCCCATTTCAGAAAAGATGAGAGCTGTTTGGATAATCGCTTAGTTTGCTGTGTGGTATGCTACAAGATGCCAACAGTAGAAATTTTATTAAATTATCAACCTGTCTTTAACAGGAAAACATGTCAGTAATTAAGATATGACAACTAGAGGAATTATTAAATAATTAAAGACTTAAAGATTAGACAGCTTGAAGACGGGATATCCTGACGGTTCTTAGAATTGCTCTGTAAACTGGACCTAGAACTGCTATGCACTGTTGCGTTAGCTTTGTAATTCGTAAGTGTGAAAATATTGAAGACTTGGAGGAAATCAAGTTTATTTTAAAAATTTAAATGGAAAGAAAAACACAAATATCTAAATGAAGTAATGGAAGAAGTACCATGAGGGTGAAACAGCAAAATCTCTTCCTGCTTAACATGATAAAGACATTCTGTTTTTCTGGAAAGCTTCTGAAGTTCCAAAGAAAATTAAAATAGTACATTGAAAGTAATGATCATGTGTTATTAATGGTAAATTGAAGGTCATAAAAAGAGGTGTAACAGCTTTTCGTGCTACAATATTTCATGTTTTTTCTTTTTCCTTTTTAAATTATATTTTATGTTGTGTAGTGTGCATATTTTCCAAAATACAGCAACAAATTATTCTATTTCTATTGCTTATTACATATATGCTTTCAGTCATCATGCTGACTTTTCAGCTCTTTCACAGAAGCAAAACTTATATTCATTAGTCTAAAACTATTTAGATACAATGAAGATCTTTCTTCTAAAAGAATTTGTTGTTACTTCAAAGGAAGTTCTTTCTCCTGAAGGCTACTTGCAGATTTCTTGTCCACTTCAATGCAAGGAGCTACCTGGTAGTTCCTCATGAACTTTCTGTGTTCTTCTACATATAAACATAATATTAATTCCTCCAAATAAGATGCCAAGCCTTGGGAGTCTTGAAATTCTCTGCATAGGCAACATTCACAGACTCAACCAGATTTTCCAGAGTTTCAGCACTCACAGCAAGGATGAAATTTTCAGAAGAATGCACTCATATTTTAAAAGATTTGGAGCACAGAGCTACTACCTCTGTGAGACACTCTGGATGCCTCAGAAAAATGTGGTTACTTGATACATGAGAGCAGATATTCTCTTGAAAATCTTGTCTATAGCTTTACAAATAACACTCTAGAATATTTTAAATTCTTTAAATTTCAGTTAATTTTGCCATGTCTTTCCTGGGTTCCTTGAAATACAGTGTTGTTTTAATCAGCATAGGTGACTTACCACCTCAGGAAGTGCAGAACAAATTCATATAACCAAAAAAAGGACCAAAAGAGGGGTAGACAATAGGCAGTTTTCAATGACTGCATCCTATCAAGTTACAAATAAACTAATCAAATTATGCTATATTTACAAAAAAACCTCTCAGTTTAAAAAAAAAATAATCTTCTGGTTCACCTCCATTTCATTTTCAGTAAAAATGATGTATTGTCTTATATGGTTGATATCAGGGTACCAGCAAGTAATAAAGACCTTGTGCTCCAGTGATGTGATACCCTTGAAGACCAATTCAACTGCTACACAGGACCACAGGATGTGACTACTGTATACTGAGAGATTTGGCACTGGCACTTGACAGTTTAGATTAAAAATTTTTTAATTTCATTAGCATCACAAAACTTTTAACCCTGATTCTTTTCAGGACAGCATTTAAAGTTTCCTTGTCTCTCTGTTTTAGTTCAAGTTAAAACAGTGCAGAGCTTTGCTTCCTGATGTTCATGTGCAGTGGGTTGCATCCACCCCTTGCCCCACCATTGTCACCACGAGCACACTGCCACAGGCACTTCTTGCTTATAATCCAATTCTCTGTCCCATGAAGTTTCCACACTCCTTTCTTAGTAACATGTAGCAGTGTCAATTTGCAGTTGTGATGTGGTTTTTAAATTTTTTTTCCAGAAAGATTGAACAGAAATATGATCTAGTAGTCCTGAAAACCAAATGTACTCAATAAAAAAATCTTACCAACTCAGACACATACACTGTGAGAGATCATGCACAGCATTTAACATGGATGATCTACTGTAGGCCACTACTCTCTCCAGTTTCCCTATAGAGGTAGTCAAATGAGAAACAGGATCTTCAAAACATAAACCAGGAAAAGTACGTAATTTTCTCTTTAAAGCATCATATTAATATGTGGAATGTGACATATTGTATTAATATAAAGTGACCAAAATTTAATGTACTCTGCTCTAACCTTCCTCAGGATGGCATGCTTGATATGGATGTAAATGGTGTGGTCTGTTCTGCATTGGGGCTGAGAACCCATGAAAAGTCTATAAAGCTGTTCATGTAATCTTAGCCAGGTTGATAAGCATCCTCATTCCTTAACTTCGTGCAGGTCAAACATTTATATTAATGTAATAGAGACTGTTAGAGATGTACCTTTAAATATAGTGACTTATGCAAGGTATGTATCCCTGTTGTTAATCCATATAGAATACTCATCTCACTTTCAAGGTCACACTGTGCAGTTAGAACAGTCATGACATGTTCTGGTTGATGGATATATCTGGTAATTAATTTTTAGTTACTTTGGATTTTTCTTCTTCATAGGTTGATGATTCCAGTTGTGATGCTGAAATCCTTTCCTTGCTCCTCAATGCCAAGTTAGTGGTGAAGTGCGTATCTACTGCCTTCTATCCTCGCCTTATTGACCACTTACTGGCTAACCAGCGAGAGGGAGGCTGGGATGTAGAGGAAATAGCAAAACAACTGAAAGAAGCAGGGTTCAACGCAGAGGCCGGGTCACTCTTGCTGTCTCATCGAGGGACTCATCCTGCACTCAGGACTTTTTCTACTGCCCTCCAGGCTATTCAGCATTGGATCTGAAAATGTTGTATTTATGCATTTGTCTGCCTTTTTGCTGAAGATCTTACACAAAAGGGAGAAATTGTTGTTCTAATGAAGTAACAAAGTTATTACCTACATTTTGCAGAAGATACAGACAGCACACTTACAGTGAATTCCCATATGCTTCTAATCATTAAAAAAAATTATTGGTGTGAATTGTATCGTTCTGTTATATGAGTAGCAAAGCATTGAATCTGATAATCCTTTACAGATTAGAGAAAAGTGTTAAATGATTATACTCTGTGACCTGTAAATGAAACATTAGTAAGCTGGCAGGTTATATATACAATTTGTCTTCATTTCTGTAAGTAATTTACTCTTGTCATAATGTAAAACTAATGTAAAAATATAAAGATATATAGAACAAAAAAAGAAATCCCAATGAAGAGTAATTTGTGAGAATTTCAAAACTTTAAAATTTGGTATTGTGCAATGTTGTTATCACAGCTTTTGTTTGCAATAAATAAAATATTTTACATTAATTGTAGTCTCTCCTCCTTTTAGACAGATAAATATTTTCTTTCTTCAGACTCTTTTTCTGCAATTCTTGTCTCTCCTTAGTGATGTTTATTCATAAGGACAAGCTGAACTTTTCTGTGCTTGCAGACAGTTCTAGTCTTCGAGGTATTTCTCTCCACAATTTGGGAAGCTGCGTCTCAAGTCCTAAACATTTGCTGATACCTTTTGTGAATGCACTTTCAAATTATTTTACTTACATTTTTCCTGAGCTCTGAAAATTTACATAGCTGTGTTTATTTCCAGATGCCTTTCTGTCTTAATAAGGCAAAGTATTTCGGATTGTTTTCAGAGGTTTTTTAACAAGGGGACTCTCTATTTATTACACTGTGTTACGAGAAAGGTTTGATGTTTCCATGTCTTTATAGGCATTTGTTGTTAAAATTAATCCGTAAATCTTCTGCCTAATCTTGTGTTCAGATCTAATTTTGATGTAATGTACAGAAACATTACATGCAATAAGATCCATAGGTTAATACAGGTTGGAAGCAATTTCCAGAGGTAATGTAATCTGACCTCCTCCTCAAGGCAGGGTTCCTTTATTGTTGAAGCAGGTTGCTCAGGACCGTATCAGTTGGGTGTTGAAAACCTCCAAGGGTGAATGTCCCACTGCTTGGCCGTCCCCGTGTTGAAAAGCTTTTTATGTTTATCCTCTTGTTTGAACATGTCTCATTTCAGCTTCTGCCAGTTGTCTCTCATCCTCTCACTGTGCATGCTGTGAAGAGCCTGGCTGCATCATCTTGATAACCTCCTTGTAGGTATTGAGTACCCCATAGCCTTCCCTCTTCAAAACAAACAAAACCCCAAAGAAGAACACAAGAACAATTCTAGTGCAGTGATTGTAGTTCATAGGTAATTTAGCTGGCTGTACCATGCCTGCAGTACAGACACTGGTGATGGATTCCATTAACACTGGTAATAATAAGTCAAAATGTGACAACAGAGGGATCCAGTTCAGGTGCAGTTGTTCCATGCTTCAGTAATAACACTCTTTATCTGAGCTTTCTGCTGTTTGGGCTAGCCAGTGCCTTCATTATGCAATATAGTAACCATCTGACTATTATTGAGACAGTAGTTTCTAAAATCCTCCTTTTTCCTAAATGTCAGCCTAAATCTTAAAGAAGGAAGAAGAAGAGTGGATTAAAAGCTTGAAGTAGCTATTTCGTTACAAATTTGTATTCCTCAGTTCTTTCCTAGGCTTCAGGATTTAGAAAAGGGTGATGACATTTGTGGAACGAAAAATGACTCATTAGCAGCATTTTTGACTTGGGACCTGCTTCGTTTTACCAGCTTTTACTGACTGTGAAAATTGTTCAGATGTTAGCCTTACTTCCTACATTACATAGGATTCTTAACAAGATTTTTAACAATGGTTTAATTCCTCATATTGTTAACTTATTTTTTGTTGGTCTCAGTTGTCCTTCAGTGTTTTACGGAAGGTTATCTCATCCCTGTATCTGATGTACATATCAAATTCAAATTTATATCATTCAGCTATATTGCCTTAATTCTGTTCTCTTATGTTAACAGTCCCAAGAGCCCCAGACTAGTAAAGCAAAGTCTATTGGAACTGCAGAGAAAAGAAAGGAAAAATTTAAAAAAGGTGATGTAACTGGAAATCATTAGATGCAGGCAAACCACAAGGCATAGCTCCTGCAAGAAAACCTTGGATTATTCAGTAGAAGATATTTCTGTACTTTACGATGGTGCATTTTGGTCTATCTGCATGTTTTGTTCTCAGGTTAGTAAGTTCAGTGCTAGATTTTCTGACCATTCTCATTCAGGATCATGAAAAGTTTGTGTTCAGTGTCACTTCAGAGCTGAGCTGTAGATAAAGCTCTAAGGAGTGTTATTGATCTTCTGTCCATTTTCTGTTTTCTGACATTAGAAATCCATGATAAATTTTTTCTTTGCAGCCAGGAATACTGATGTATTCTGTATTCAAAACTTCCATCTATAAGAAAGGGGTTTAGTATATACATCCAAAATGATCAGCCTGCATTAGTGTACGTTCCAAATAAAATAAAATTTAAGGGGGGAAAAAAAAAAAGTGAAAAAAGAAGCACATAGCAAGGATATGTATATCCCAGTGCCAACCTTTTAGTATGTTCTGTATGGTAGAATCACATTAGAGGTTCTGGGAGTGATTGAGATATGCTAGCAAATGCTATTGCATTGGTTTTGTTTTGGGTTGGTTTTTAAAGATTAAGAAACTTACTTTGTTATTATTAACAGTACTTAGTAAGACACTGAACAGTTGTCGCAAATGAGTGGTTTAAGTTCGCTCAAAGAATAACTGTCAAAGGTATTAGCAGAAACGGTTTTAATATGAATTGATAGGCAGCTTAACAGAGTTCGATGGCAAGGTTCACTCTATTGCTTACTACATGAAAGAAAGATACACAGAAACGAAGGAAAAAAGGTTAAAATCAAGCTAGAGTGGTCTACACAGAGACCAGGGGTGAAAGGGGAAGGGGTAAGGGAGACCCTCCCATTGAGTCACGAGGTTTGGAGTAGACCCCATTGCTTCCTGAACTCCTTCTCAGAGAGGAGTCTAGGTGCAGCTGGATCTACCCCTAGTCGCAGACTCAGTCAAGGGTTTATGTCTAATAGATGGCAGGAATGGGATATTTAGCAGTAGGATTTAGCAGTACTTTTTATCTGACAGCACTTAATCACTGACTAATTTAACATCCATGAGGTACTATGATCATAGCAATGACGTAAATTGTTTTAGGATATTTGAATTGATTCACACATGCATGCACACAAACACTGAGATATATATGTTTAAAGGTACATGTATAAAGGAGCATATGTATAAAAATATATGTAAAGAAAAATATATAAAGAGATATATATATAGATATATAT